ATAAATATGGCAGCTAGTTGTTTAGGATATATTGTGTAGAAATATTCACGCGCAATGTACACGCGTTTTGTACATATATCTTGACAAGTAATTTCTGGTAAGAAGTCAATGCTTTCTCACGACATATTCCAATACATTTATCAAATATTTATAGTATATGAATAAATTAAGATCAATACTTGTTCACTTAATTCTGTGACGTTTGCATGTTTATATTTGATCTCTACATAAAATTTGTATTAATAAAAATTGTATGTGATAAGAATATCGATATTTTATTTTCCCGTCCTTTTACGTCAAAATACTTTTTAGTTTAAAATTTTGCTTTAACATTTCTTCTAAATATACATTTATATGTATATCAACCATCATCAATAAGACAAAATACTCAATAATATTAAAATCACTTTTCTTTGTATACGAGTATAAAAAGTTAAAGTTCAAAAAATTTTACTGTATATTAATAACGTGTCTTCCCAGAAACTATCATAGCTAGAATAAGAAGTAATAAATAATCATTAATAATATATTGAAATAAAAAACAATTTTATATAGATAAAAAATGATACTCACTCTAAGATTGCTCCGCCGGTGCCTAATCAATGTTTCATCCAGATCTCCTCACAAGACACTCACGAAAAACACTCGCGGATAATATATACTTAATTATTATTAATAAAAATCTATCGCACCACACTATATACTCCGCGTTTATACAAAGTTCATTAATGTCAACGATATATTTATTACTTTCAAAACAAACGCGCGACGTGACGAACCGGCCGATTCCTTCATATTCACTTAAATCGGCGACGAGGCTAATACGTTAGCTTCCCTCTTGGATTATTTTTACACATAGAGAACGATTTTGTTCAAGTATCTAAAAATTTAGTTACATAGAAATTTTTAAATATTTGGGAAAAACCATTCTTTTCATGTATATTTCGTAGTAATGAGCCCTCCCACTTCGCCAAGATCATACCCGTGAGAGGGAAAATATCATCTGAAATATACAATATACAAAATTATCTATTACTATACAATCAATTCACTTGTAAAAATGAAAATGGCGATTACATTATATCAGTTCGTGTGTGTGCGAAATAATTATTTAGGACAGATAGAAAGAATATGTGTATATATAAATCTCTTATATTACTTATTGTTATAATTTCTAATAAATCTGTAAAATATATATTATATATAATATTTGTAAGTATCAATCAAATGGATCACAGATTAATAAAAAAGAAAAACATTCCTTTTCTATTTGTCAGCTAATGTATTATCATTCCCGGTAAAATAATCGCAAAAATTTAATTTTTATACGCAATATCGCGAAAGATGCTTGTGAAACGAGAAATTTATTAAATTATTATTAATTACACAAACACTCTAGTTGTATTACTTTTGTAGTCGAGAATAGCGTCGCGTAAAATTTGTATAAGAATATATATTAATATTAAGTTGTATTTTATATAACTTGTGCAATATCGCATTTGATTGATTTCAAAGTATAATTATTGAGAATTATACTCAAGCAAAAGAAAAATTTTATGTTAATAAATATTTTTTACATTTTCGACAAACTCTCTGCTAATTTTACCGATAGTGTGAAAATGGAGTGCAGTTATGTAGTATCCATTTTGAAAATGAATATACTGGCGGTAGTATACAGGCGATTTCGACGAAAAAGCTGATCCCCCTCTTTTCTTCTTCTTCTCTTTTATATTGTGAATTTTAGATTCAAAAGAGAAAGGAAACCATCTCAGATTTCTCTCTGCTCCGGACGCTCGTTCGGCTTCGACATGCGCGAGCCTCGATAAATCCGGATCTACAATAGGTGTTGTAAGCCTTAAGCCTTAAGAAATTTACCTACAGAATGCGAAGAGAATAATTGATTGTGATTCGTCCATTCCTTATCGCTTAAAGCTTAAAAATCTATTGTAGATCCAGGATAATGGAGGAGTATTCAACTAATAGGTATATTTAATGTATATTATATGCTCATCCATTAACGTAAATTAACTGAATCTCGGTTCAACTTAAGCCGAAATCACACTACGCATTGAAGATTGAGGGTACAGTCAATGCGATGGTGCAAACGCTTTGAAGCGTTTTTTAATTAGTCAGTTTGTAAAATTCTTTCTTCTAATTGGTCCATCAAATGCTTCAAAAATGCCCTAGGAATGGCTGCGGTGGGAACCAATCGGAACGTGGTATGGGAAAATAGCCAGTTTCGAATGTGACAGCAGCATTGATTGCGCAATTCACGGTTATTTACATTTCGTTAGAATTGTTTGACAACTCGAGTGAAAATTACTCTTGTTTTTATTAAAACAAAAAAATTTCATAAAAAATGATTCCAGTAATTATATTTTATAGAACATTATTAAATTAAAATATCACACTTTAATTTTTATAGAGTAGAATTGTGTTTCTAACCTATTACATAAAAATCTACTTCTTTATCGCGAATAATGTATTTTCTAATGTATTTTCTAGGCGTGCGATACTCTGAGAATCCTTCATTTGCCTCCGCAACTTTCTGATGACCGACGTGATGCATTATTACAGAGATATGGTGCGACCAAGACCAAAACGATACGACCATCCAGCAAGTACACAGTCACTTTTGCCAAATTCCTATCCCAACAATTAGCAGCAGAAGCACTACTGCGTCTACATCAGTTAAATATCAGAGGACAATATCTGTCGGTTGAATATGCTAAGAAATCTATACCCACTGAACTTTCGGAGCAAGGCATCCAACATAAAATATCAGTGAACAGTGATATGAAAATGGAAACTGTTAGTAAGTCTGATGTTCAAGCATTCTTGCGGAAATTAAACAATTGGACAATGAATTATGAATTTAGTCAACCGCCTCCACCAAATATAAGATATAAATATATGACGCCGACAAAAAGTACAGTGGCAAGGATAGCTATACAATTGTTAACTCAGCCAGCTTTTTATACACAGGTAAACTGTCAGGTCTTTGTTATAAGATTTTATTTTTATACAACCTTAACTGGCATTATTGCAGCTGTACGTGTATTCGTAGGTATTACACTTGATGAATAAGATGAATCTACCTCCTCCTTTTGAAGAATTGGAAATGGAATTTCCTATGCTTAGGGAAGTGTATAATATGGAGAAATACAAAGGTATTCAATAACAGAGGATACAGTAGACAGTAAACGTAATGTTACAAATACTAAATGAAATCATTTTTTGATTGCTCAATTAGTAAAACTCATCTAATTGATTAATCAAAGCATTTATAGCGAGACTTTAATCACATCTAGAATAATGAACAATGATCAGAAAAAAATTAAAATTCTTCCTGTTTAGATATATTCCCCGAGCGAGTGAATGAAGAAAGATCAGAGGAAGAAGAGTCAGAGTTAGAATCAGATGGAGAAGATAATACTCGACCTCTGGAAGTTATCCCCGTTAAAAGAAAAAGGCCGCAATCTACAAAACGTATAAAAATTCCAAAGTTTGTGAACCCTGCTAAACATATTGTAATACCTTCATCAACACAAAAAGTGCTCAAGCCAGAAGATATGTTCGAGTCTGTTCAACGGGGAGAAACTAAAAATTTCAAGATTGAATTAAAAACTCTCGACAAATCATTGGAAACAACATCTGCTAATCGAGATAGTACTGTGACCATAGATGGTGGATTTGGTTTAATATTCCCAGCTAATAAAACTACTGAGGATGCAAAAGACAGTGAAGAGAATGCAGAAATGCCAAAAAATAAGTTTATAACTTCAGAGGAATTGGCAACTAATAAGATCTCTGCCAATGATCAGAGATTGCTTCCTGTGTTCAAAAATTATCATCCGGGCAAACCTTCCAATCGTCTCTACATAAAAAATCTTGCAAAACAAGTTGAAATGAAGGATCTACATTATATTTATGAAAGATATGTTATTGCTGGATTAAAAGATGCCGAAAATGAGTGAGTATTTCGCTAGTATTGTTGCTATTTACAGTTTACGTTATTTTATAATGTCTTGATTAACATCTATATTTTAGATATGATGTACGTCTTATGCAAGAAGGTAGAATGAAAGGACAAGCATTTATCACTTTACAAAATGCTGTACAGGCAAAAATGGCTCTCGAAGAAACGAATGGATATATATTAAAAGATAAACCTATGGTTGTGCAATTTGCTAAAACTAGTAAAAGTTAATACATATCATCTTTAATCTAATCTTAACTTATTTCATATCGTAATTAAAATGTTAATTTAAAGATTTTGCTTAGAAAACAAATTGTTGCAATAAACAATGCAAATGTCCTTGCATCAGACTTAAAATAGTTCTACGTCAGTTTTATTTAACAATTAACAATACCTAATTTGTATATTTCATTTAAGTAAGCATCCAACGTCATCTAAAATATAAATTTTGGTAACAACTTGTTTTTAGAGTAACAAATCTTGCGATTCTTTAAAAGTCTTCGTCGCAATTTATCTAAGCTAATAAATGTCAGAGGAACGGGACGAAAAGAAGTATAATTGAAGCAGAATACCGATTAATACTTGTTTAAGGCTCCTGAGTAGTCACCACGCCATATTGAATCGTGACGTCAGAAGCGATAAATGGCACGTTAATTTTTATTACACGCCATTTATAAGTAAAGACAATTTGAATAAAATAAAATGATGAGAATGCTTTAAAATATTTGTAAAAATGGACGAAAACTGTGTTTACCCTTCCCCCCTGTCAATAAATAATCGTAAAAAGTGATGAAAGGCACATGAAGTGCTTTTATTCAATGCACATTCGTAGCTTATTTTCACTTACAAGTGTCAGGGAGGGATAAGCACAATTTTCGTCCATTTTACAAATATTTTAAAGCAATCTCATCATTTTGTTTTATCCAAATTATCTTTATTTATAAATGGCACGTAATAAAAATTAGCGTGACGTTATCGTAATCATTATAAAGTCAAAATATTGTTGAACGTGCCATTTTATATATTTTATATGACAAAATAGTAGGACAAATAGTCGTAAAAAAAAGCTAAATGTGTACGACTATTTGTATGCTATTTTGTTATGGTGGTACGACATAAATACTACTATTTCTATAGGTTGATACTACACTTCCTTTACTGGCAACACTGAATCAGATCTGCCAAGAATAAAGTGTCGAACGCTTTCGTTACCTCGGCGAATATTTCATCGACTGTTCCTTCCGCATTAATCTGAAAGGAAATAATTAATTTATAATTTGTAGGATATACGACGGTTGAGAATAAATGAAAAAAATATACATATCTGAACTCACTCTTATAACTTTGTCTTTGTAATATTCGACAATCTCGTTATTTTTTCCATTAAATATCTCGATTCTTTTTTTTATTGTCTCCTCATTATCATCTGCCCTTTGGGACATAGCAGCACGTCCAAGGAGTCTCTTCTCCAGAGTATCATTCGCTACATCGAAGAAGATAATTAAGTCGACAGGGCAAACCTGTGCAGCAAGCATAATGATAATTTAAAGCAGAAGAAATATATAGTAAAGAGAAAAGGGCTAGCTTACCTTTTCCTCGAAGAGAATTCCCTGATCTTTCTCACGAGGGTAGCCATCGATAAGAAATCCAGTCTTTGTGGTTCCTTCCTCACGAGCTTTATCCATCTGTTCCTTTATAAGCTCCAGCACAATGTCCTAGCGGAACCACATGATCTTCACACTGAGAAAAACTGAGTTTGTCGCGTAAGACGCGCGATATATTGTATATTTCTCTTTCTATTTTTTATTTCATCCTTTCGGCGCATACAATTTCGATTTTCATTCTTATATTTTTAATAATCATATTTATATTTTTTTATTACAAAATTTATACATATTTATATAATTAAAAAATTAATGTAAATGCAAGTTAATTAGTTCTTGAATGGTAAAACCAATTAATGAAAATTTGCATATTACATACCGTTGGCACAAATAGTCCCTTGGACATCAGAGCCTGAAGTGACGCACCTCTTTCGCTGCCACTAGCAACTTCTGCTCTCAGTAAATCACCACTGCTCAAATGAAGAAATCCATACTTTTCAATTATACGGTCACATTGCGTTCCTTTGCCACATCCTGGCCCACCAATTACCCAAATTGTTTTCATCTTCCCTTTCCTCTCTCCACAGCAAACACTAGACTAAAAATGATGATTATTTAAGTTTTCCTTGAAAATCCAAGGGAGAAAGACTGGGAGATGTATGTATATACAATATTTTCAATTAAAATTATAGACTCAAATGTAATTTCAAATACTTTTTTAAATAATGAGTTTTCAATTTTAAGAGACTTTCACATATAATATATACATAAATATCTGATAAATTCATTTTTTTTTATATTCGTTATACGGAGTTTTTAAAAAAACTCCGTATATTCAGCATTCGAATGATTTTATTGAACACTATATACATACTTTCCTTTATATTATATTCATCGTAGTACGTTTTTATATTTATATTTTACTTGTTTAATTATTATTTGTTTACCTACATTCATTGTATTTAAAGAATTTTTTTAATTTTTTGTGTGCATTAAAAATTCAAAAGATCTTTTGACATCCTAAACAACTGTGAACCTAAAATTTCAAACGCGTATCGATTTCTCGCACGGTTGTCACCCCACGAGACGCGCCTGCGCTCTCGGAAAAGCTCATTGACATTTCCGGTACCTCATCACCTTGAACTTTCTCCAAATGTCTCACGGAGTCAAGTATAAAAGCGAAATATGATAAACCAACTGTTCTCTCGATTTATTTTTGGTGTTATCAAATAAAACGAACACATTAACGAATCACAAACTTTGTGAAAGCTATTCTCATAAGCCTGTTTTCTAATTTAAATGGAAAGAGGTTGGAGAACAGGTTAAATTACAAAAACTGATTTCAAACATTTGCAAGAATTCCACCATTCTGACACAAACGACGATAGTTTTAGCAATATCGACCGATTTCGAGTGCGATTTAACTCACTCCTCGTCTCCGTTTGATTCTGATCGAAGAAGAGAAAATAAACTGGCAACGATCTTGAAGCTTCTCGGTAAACTCGTCCGCGTATATCGATTGTCGGGGATGTAGAGTTCAACGCAGAAACGTATGAGCGCGATAGAAGAGCGCGGGAATGACTGAAGAGCATACAGCCCGATCAAGTCGTTTTCCGGGATTACGTGATAATAGAGCTGCATATTACACAATATCATAGGAGACACAGACCTATACAAATATAGTAACGCTTAAAAATAAACCTGTGGCGAATGTATGAGGATCTCGTCTGTGTTACGAAAACTATAACTTACACTCTGGATCGCAGTTTACGTAACCGAAATATTAGAATGAGCCTTCGTGTTACAGAATCATTACATCACCATCAATACAGATTCCCAGAATCATACAAATGAAAATTGTCGTCACGTTAATTAATACGATTCGAGCAAGGAGTGTGAGAAAAGTTAACACACACTTCTCGTATAACAGATTGTAAAATATAAATTACGAAAGAAATCGTTTAAATACCTCACTTCCTGGGTGCGACTAATTGTGGGTGTTGTATATCATATCGATGTAAATAATACAATCTTAGACCTACAATCTCTCACGTAGCGTCAGTTTTTAAGAGGATAATTGTCGATCGAATACTTTGGAGTATTTCAAGGATACGAGCACTTCCTGAAAATGAGTCACTTCCTGAAAACATCGCGATGCAAATTGCGAGACGGGCGAGAAATTATATAAAATCTGTGCCAATGCTAAAAATGTATAATACACGCGACGTAAACTATAGATTTTCAGCGCTAGCAGTGAATTTTGGGACATAGCCATACTTACGTCTGTTCCTTCGCACATTTTTAGCGTCACGTGATAGAAAAACAGTCACGTGATAGAAATTAACGAATATCAAGCGTCAATTTTGATCACGTGATCTATTTTGACGCTGAAAGTGAACGTTGAGCGTCAGCATGAAAATAAAGTATCTTTACATCTTTCATGTTTTATCAGAATGTACCTCGTATATTTTGAAATGAAGTGAAAATTACACAAATGTATGAATTTAATAGAACATTTACGATTTCATTGTCATTATCTTGTAAATTTGTAATTTTAATCGACTCCCTGATTGGCTATTTGAGATGAAAATTGGACAAAATTGAAAGGGGGGAGGGAGCACTATCCAATTTTATATGATGCTCTAACTTCTCGAGAACGCATGTTTTTTGCTTGACGCCATTGTCTCCATTGTCATCCCTGGCAGACATCATCGTCATTTTGTTGGTCACGAAGCGTTAAAAAGTTAATTCGCGGATAACGCGTGTGATAAGAACTTTTGGAAGAAGAAAGATTCCGAGATGGTAAGCTTTAATGCGAGAAACGCGAAATCATTAATCGCATCTATGAATTCTTATCCATGTCGACCTCGTCTCCACGAAACTGACTCTCGAGACGCCACGTGCATTATTTCGTGCCTCGCTTTTATATTTAATATATGCTCTTATGATCGCTTTTATGATCACTGCTTTTATTTAACGTTCTTATGTTTTCTCATGGCATGGGATATCTCATCAAATTAAAGAGATATTCAGATATCTCGCAGCTTTCGCGACTCGTCATCATGTAGTCGGTTCTCTGGCCCGATTTTATAACCTTATATGGAAACTTATTTCACGCTGAATCCTCCCCAAAAGAATTTGGATAAAAAGCTAAAATTCGAGATAAGATGTCTTAAAGATACTTTTTCAAGAATTGTATAAAAGATATAAGATGTTTTGAACTTAATGTTATTTGAATTTATTCTTGTTTATTGATTCCAACAGTTTTATGTCCATTTCTGCCAATACAGGTTAACTAATTCAATTTTATTCCTCATCATCTCTCAATTCTTAGAACTAGATGTATTGTATTGTCCGCGATTCCGCGTACAATACATCGGACATCTGGTCACGCACGGATAATCCCTGATTCTCTGATTACTGGAGCCGAGGGATCGTACAGATCTCCTCCTCGAAAGAGATAAAAAATAAATTAAACCATGATTAAAGTTAATCTAATATTGGTAGAAATGGGCATCAATGTGTGATGTAGAATGTATGCTTCGAAGATTCTGATCTTCGTTTTTTTCTTATCGTTCAATAACCTTGCTTCAATTACTTTACAATTTATTTTTATTAAAAAAAATATTGGTGTCAAAAAATATGTGGAGATCTATGTACTTAAGTTGAAATGATTTAAATGTGTATTTATCATTGAATTTTTCTCTTATTAATTAAATGCAGCAACCTCAAATAATCCTACTAAAGGAAGGCACAGACACGTCTCAGGGAAAGCAACAAGTTATATCCAATATAAATGCGTGCCAGATAGTCGTGGATGCCGTTAGGACCACCTTAGGTCCTCGCGGTATGGACAAACTCATAGTCGAGCAAAATGGAAAGAGCACTATATCCAATGATGGTGCTACCATCCTGAAATTATTAGATATTATTCATCCTGCTGCTAAGACTCTTGTGGATATTGCAAAATCACAAGATGCTGAGGTAACAATTATTTTGTCATACTCATTAGTATCAGTATCCTCTGAAAATGGCAATATTTAGACCGACGTGTTTTTTATAACATGTCGATTTGGAATAGCACAACAAGAATAAAGTTATACTGGCAAGAATTCAGAGGATATCAAATCTAGAACGTATAGACTGACAATTTCTTAAAGATTTGTGATTGTTTCACAAGCGTTCAAACAAAATAATTTTATATGAAGGTAAAATAAGGTCAGCAAAGAAAAAAGAAATTATTGATTGAATATTCTATTATTTAACAGGTTGGAGATGGCACAACCAGCGTAGTTTTGTTGGCAGGGGAGTTTTTGAAACAAATGAAACCGTTTATAGAAGAGGGCGTACATTCGCGTATAATAATCAAAGCTCTTCGTCGCGCACTTCATATAGCTAAAGATAAAATTAATGAGCTAAGCGTCAAATTAGACAGACGCAACATAAACGAACAAATTGAGCTTCTGGAAGCATGCGCAGCCACAGCTATGAATTCCAAATTGATACATCAACAAAAGAATCATTTCAGCCAATTAGTTGTCAAGGCTGTCATGAAGCTAGATGAATTACTTCCTCTTAATATGATTGGTATTAAAAAGGTAAGTACTTAATCTTATATTTTATGAAAGATTTTAATATGCTGGCGTAATTAATTAATTTTTGAATGTAACATGTTTAGGTTTCTGGAGGTGCGCTGGAGGATTCGGAGCTGATTGAAGGAGTGGCCTTCAAAAAGACCTTTTCGTACGCCGGATTCGAAATGCAACCAAAAAAATATGAGCAATGCAAGATTGCATTACTGAATATTGAGCTGGAATTGAAGGCCGAACGGGACAATGCCGAAGTGCGCGTGGACAATGTGTCAGAGTATCAGAAAATTGTTGACGCAGAGTGGCAGATTCTCTATGATAAGCTCGATCAGATTCACAAGAGCGGTGCGAAAGTAGTATTGTCCTCGTTGCCGATCGGCGATGTCGCAACACAGTATTTTGCAGACAGGGACATGTTCTGCGCCGGTAGAGTACCTGATGAGGATCTCAAGAGAACGATGAAGGCATGCGGTGGTGCGATCTTAACAACGGTACACGACATAAAGGACTCTGATCTCGGAAGTTGTCAGACTTTCGAGGAAAAGCAAATCGGTGGCGAAAGGTAATTAAATGATATCCATCATTCAATAATATCGATTGTAGGTCGATCTGACGTGATTTATAATTGTATTTTTAGATTCAACTTTTTCTACGAATGTTCGCGAGCGAAGACGTGCACATTTATCCTGCGTGGAGGCGCGGATCAATTTCTAGAAGAGACTGAGAGATCCCTTCATGATGCGATCATGGTCGTTAGACGCATGATAAAAAATGATGCAGTGGTTGCTGGCGGTGGTGCCATCGAAATGGAACTCTCCAAGACTTTACGCGATTACTCACGTACTATTGCTGGAAAAGAGCAACTTTTGATAGGAGCGATAGCGAGAGCTCTCGAAGTTATTCCGAGGTACGTGCTTTAAGCATAAGGCTTTGCTTTAAGGTAACATTCAATACGTTACCTTTAAGATAGAGATTTCACTTTTTTAGAGAGAGATTCACTTTAAAAATTTTTAAGTATACATTATGTTTTTATTCTTTGAATTTTAAATCCTTTAAGGACAGCGTCATTTATTTACTCTACCTTCGAAATTTTGGTTCTTTTTTTTTATCATAATGAAAAAAATATCTAAAATGGAAATAAAAATTTTTCACTATAAACTTTTTGTATAATACAATTTTTGTATAATATTACAAACAGAGGAGTAGAAATCGAAAAATTTTTCACTTGATAGACTTTAGTGTCCCAAATGTATTGTATAATATATTGTACATAAACGTTTACAAGATATAATAATTATGAGACATATCGATTTCAGGCAATTATGTGATAACGCTGGATTTGACGCGACGAATATCTTGAATAAATTGCGTCAGAAGCATCATAAAGGTTTGCAGTGGTACGGCGTTGATATCAATTCAGAGGATATCACGGATAACATGCAGTACTGCGTTTGGGAACCGGCAATAGTAAAGATCAACGCATTAACTGCCGCTACGGAAGCCGCCTGTCTCATCCTTTCTGTCGATGAGACTATCAGGAATCCTAGGAGTAGCCAAGATGGCCCGCAACCTCCAATGGGACGTGGCATGGGCAGACCGATGTAATCTGTCTGTTTATTTAATTTATCAAAACTAGAGATCTTATAACACAGTTTAGTCACGAGTGATTTTGTCAAAATCCTCCGAGAAAGAAAAATATTCTCTAAAACTTTTAGAGTAAATATCATTCTTTCAAGACTGGATCAATTTTCACTCTTTAGAGCGAAATTTCACTCTATGACTTTAATTAGAATTAAAGATGAGATAATATATATACTATAAAGAAGAAATTGTATATATCTTTCTCACATACAAATATTTTTAACAAAATTGCTTATGGCCAGACTAGAATATTGGGTCTCTAATTATAGACTGTAAGAAAACTATGTAATGTGAAATAAAAGCATAGTTTATAAATGCGAGCATTATGTCGCATCTTTGTAGCTTTGTCTCTCGTCATTTTTTGTACATGCTAATATTTATAACGAATCACAATGAGTTAACAGATTAATTTTCTGTTTAAAATAAAAGCTTATTGTTCCTTAGATATGCAAAAGCACGTGTATTCATGAAAGTTCACATTAAGTATCCTTAATTTTTTTCATCCATTTTTTTTTTCAAATTTTCGCGCGAATGATTGAAATTTTTAAGCATGGATTTTCGTGTAATCGATAATTCGATTTCTGAAATTTCTATAAGGTCCCAAAATTCGCGCATTTTAGAGTGCAGAACATGATACTTTGTGCTAAAACAAACAACTTTTTCCTTTTGCAAAATTGCGTTTAACAAGTAGTTTTTGCAGAAGAGTAGGTTGAAGTTACACGAGTAAGAGCAAAAATTATTTAACGAACTTTATTATAGGAAAAAGTACCTTTGTTCGTTTTAGTACAAAAAAAAAATTTTTTTTTCTTTAGCAAAATTGCGCCCGATAAGTTTTTGCAGGAGATCAGGTTGAAGTTAACAAATAAGCGCAATTATCGGACGCAATTTTGCTAAAGGAAAAAATTGTTTTAGCATAAAGTGTCATGTTTTACGAAAGCGCGAATTTTGAAACACCCTGTATAACTATTTGAATTGTTGCATGAAGTTTAGTGTTATTAAAAAAAAACAGAAGAAGATAATTCGATTTGTATGATCAATAAAGATTCCCATTTCTTCAATTTTTTAATCTGCCATTCCGAGAAATTTGCAAAGGCGCTAATTACTTCTTGACAAGATGGCCACTACTTCTTCGATGAAGTAAATTCGGCCCTTGAGGTTTAAATATCGCGGACTGTTGCAAAACAAACTAAAAGAGCGAACAATTCTACAGAAGATCCCAAAGAATACTACAAATTAAGCTTATTTTTTCCGTATATAGATTCGCTTATAAATTCTTTGAGCATTAGATTTTCTGAAAAAAATATAAATGTTTTCAACTATTTTCGTTTATATCCTTCCGTTCAAAACTATAACCCGTGAGCAACGCAATCAGTTGTTGGAAATTGATAGGAATAGTGACTTACTTAATGAAGGTATTGTATGGCACAAAATAAAAAGGACACTAATATATTTACACTGAACGACATGCTTACTGCTGCTAAATTTGTATCTAAAATTCAAGCCGTGCTTCTTAAATCGCTATCGTTGCTTGTCACAGCAGTAATAATAGAAAGATCGTTCAGCACTTTATGGCAAATTAAGGCATGGTTGCGTTCAACAGACTTAGGCTAATTCTACAATGTGCTCTTTGTTTTCTGTTTCTTGCTGTTTGCCTCTTGCCTTTTTGATCAATAAGACAAGAAACAAACAGCAAGATACAGAAAACAAAAAGCACATTGTAGAATTAGCCTTAGTGGCCTTAGCTAAGTATAAAACTAAAAGAAGTTTTTGAAACAGTTAATAAAAATTAAATTTTTTATGAAAGTGTCTTTTTAAAAATCACATGTGCCTTTTTTAAGAATCAAACAAGGAGTATGTAAGCCCACCGCTGGATGTATTATACAAAAATTATTTCCTGGTGAAAATTTTTCTCAGAATTTTTCACATAATTTTTCAAAATTTCTATATAATTTTTCAGAATTCCTATATAATTTTATAATTCACATTTTTTATACGAATTGAAACATTTCTGTAGAGAAAATCTACATCTTTTCTCAGAATTTTTTATATATTAATTATAAAATATCGTAAGATTTCTAAGATTTTTTGTAAATATAATTTCTGATGAAATGTTATAAATCTAAAAAATTAAAAAATATTTTTTTTTAAATTAAGGTATGAGAAATTTCAGAATATTTCAGAATTCACTTGTACGAAAACTTCTAAGAGAAGATGTAAATTTTCCGAATATTTCTGAGTATTTCTGAAAAATGTTCCAATTCGAATAAAAATTATGAGAAAAATTTTCACCAAAATTTTCTTTATTAAATTATGAAATATATGTGTAGTTATACAGAGTGTCTGGAAATAATCGCCAAAATATTTCATGGACAGAGGTAGAGAGGGTTAAAAGTCCTGAGTTGAAAAGTCCTCTACCATTTTGCAATTTTTTTAATAGTTAACAAGATATTAATTACTAAAAATTGCCAAATATTGGTTTTGAATCATTTTTTATTCAAATACTATCAACTTTACAGAAAAACTGCAAGAGACAAAAATCATTTATTTTCTTCTCATAAAGTTCTAAGAATTTTTTCAGAATTTTTTCAGAATTTTTTAATACCGTATTTTCTCATGTTGGTAAAAAAAAAAAAAAGAAAAGTACTAAGAAGTTGATGAAAAATTTTTAAAAAATTTTCGACTCAGTTTAGTCCTCTCTATTTGCCCATGAAATATTATTTCCAGACACCCTGTATAAATAAAATTATAAAATATTGCCATATCGCTGCTAGCCGATCGAGTTCGAAATGAGGGGCGAGGAGGGGGGGAGGGGCGGGGAAGGGGACATCGAACTCCTGCTTTCACCAACTTTCACGACGATCCGTTTGGTGGCCTTGTCCACTTCTGTCGGCCGTCGGTGAATCCACGCGCCTTTGGCGGCTTTGGCCTCGTCAACATTGTGGTCGACGTTTGTGCTACAATTATACTTTACAGCGAGGTCAATGCCAGCGACGGCGACGAGAGTGATGGAACAAGCAATGGCGATCGTGGATGACAACGCGATGGCCACAATCTCGTAGTCACAAGTATAAATACGAGATTCCTTCTCTCTCCCCTCCAGCTCGTCCTCTCCTGTTGTCCAGCCGGTGCGGGTCCGACGTCCGTTCATCGTGAGACGCCGTGCGAGACATGTCGCATCCTCCAAGACCACGATAACGATGGCATCGCCCGACAAGCCACTCGACGGGATTGAATCACGTTTCGCACGTGCTGCTGATGAGACCGAATGGATCCCATTGTCGCTGACATTGGTAGAGTATCCGCAAGGTCAGTACGAATGCACGGTGTCTCTTATTGTCAGTATCCCGAGTTTTCACCTCGCTTCGTTACCGATTGTTTTACACACTGCCATGATATAAATGAAACTTAGGTGCATTTGTTTTTCATCATAATATTTAATTATATGCGAATGTTTATAGAATTTATAGAAATTGTTGTTATGTGTTAAAATGCTGAAGAATTTGTGAAATCGTTTTAGATAAAAAATTGTTAACATATGTTTATCAAATTATAAATAATTAGGAGCATACAAGATGTCTTAAGCGAAAATCATATATTAAAAAATTTTTAATATGATAAAGTAGACGTTTCGGTCAAGTCTTGACCATTATCAGTACAATAAAATATAAAACGATGTGTTTACAAACATTAAAAAGAATATTAACAATTATTCGCTAGTCCAGAATTAATGATAACAAATTTGCATTCGCTTATGAAACAAATTGACAATATTTTAAATCCAGAATTGAAGATGACAAATTTACATTCGCTTATGAAACGAAATTTTATTGCGATATAGATTCCTTGTTACTTGAAACTTTGTGAGACTTCGTGTGAAAAATATAATAATTATTAATATTCTTTTTAATGTTTGTAACATCAAAACTTATGAAAAGAAGAGCATAAAAACGCAGACTTACATATATCTGACATTAAATTCAACCATCGTGTAATATAACTATGTATAAACGTGTTCTTTCATCTTGTGAAGGTGTATCACAACAATGTTGCAGCCAATTGTCATATTGCAAATTATGTAGAACAAGAATTTCCAAATTCTAATTTAAAAAATTAATCTATCATTAATATCTTTTAATCGAAATGTATGAGAATAGAATCGTTACCTGTTTTATAGCAAAAAAATGATGAATCTTAAGTACATCCTTTACACAGATGGAAATTTATCGTGACATTGTGTGTTATTATTTGTCATATCATATATGTTACCCCTGTTTATATATATGTGTCAAAAGTTTAGATTGTTCTAGAATTATTTATTAAATGTGAGAAAGATCTTTCTTCATAAAAGGCAGATAAACAACGGGCAAACCTTCAGTGTCACTTTGCTTATTGACACTACTTATTTGGTTTTTTTTATGTATATCATTTCAGAAATTCTTCTTTTCAATAATGATTGTTCTGTGTCTAAAATTCTGATATTATCCCAATCCAATTCGTGCATCTCATTCAACTGGGGACGTGAAACCACTGACATCTCCGAGATGGATCTTCTTATGTCAGCCTTATGTTCTTTTATTCGAGTTTTTAATTTCCTTTTTGTTTGGCCAACATAAGAAGACTCACAATTTAAACAATTTATTTTATAAACCACTCCACAATGGTCCTCTTTATGCAAATCTTTTCCAGTTTTAATAAATCTATTCATTTTATTTATAGGTTTGTAAGCAATATTAAAGCCCTAATTAAAGAATATGTGATAGTTTTTTAAATTTTTCCGATACTTTACTTAAATATGGTATTATAAAAAACTTTTTCTTTAAATTAGAATTAGAGTCGCTTTCATTATTGTTGTACTCACTATTTTTATCTAAATTCGTTTTATCTAAATACTAAATCGGTCGGAATGTTTATGTACATCGAGACCACGTCGAATGATATAATACTGAAGTTTTTATCGATTACCTTTCCATTGAGTTTATTCAACACATTATCAAAACTGTTTTTTATGACTGAAATTCTGAATTTATGACTAACTGTGAATTTATGACTGTTTTTTATGACTGAAATTTACATGACTGAAATTCTTTTTATTATTGTTGTCTATAATATCTTTTAGGAAAGTTGCCAATGGATAAAAAGCACTGTTTATACAGCTATCAATCTCAGCGGATGACCCTCCTTATGAATTTTTGGCAGTCCACAAGAACTCATAAGTTTTGATTTATAAATCATGTTCGTTTTTATTATGTAGTTTGTAACATTTTATATTTTATGATCGAACATTTATTTTATTATATTAAAAATTTTTAAATATATGATTTTCACTTAAGACATCTTGCATTGTGGCTATATGCTTATCAAACTATTTAATTTATACTATTAAATTTTGGATATTCAATCTTTTGATGAAATTTAAGAAAAGACTTGTATATTTGAAATTATAAAAAAATATCTATTTCTGACAATAATGTATGTTCATAAATTTTCAGGGGATATCTTTGGACAACTTTTGGCTGTAATAAGTCTAATGCCCTTTGCCATTATAACTGGTTTTATCACATTGATACTTTTTAGGAGGGATTTACATACCGTAAGTTAATTGTAATAATACATATAGATCAATTGTGATAACTCATATATAGATTTAATTTATAATTCGCAAATGTAACTTGTTCTTTAATTATAGATTGTATTTTTTATCGGAGTCAGTATCAATGAATGTATAAATTATATATTAAAACACATGATTCGTCAAGCAAGGCCGATGAAGAGAGATGGCCTGTACGCCGAATACGGCATGCCGTCTACACATACACAATTTATGTGGTTTTTTGCTGCATACGCAACACTTTTTATATACTTTAGGTAATGAGACATCACAAATAACTTCACAATCACATATCACTCGCTCTTGTCAATTCACTCATGCATTACTTTTCTTCTTGCAGGTTAAATTACAACTGTACGGTAACTGAGAGATTTTGGCGGACAATAGTAGCGATAGGATGCATCGTCACAGCTTTATTGGTAACTTACAGCAGAGTGTATCTGTTGTACCACTCCAACACCCAAGTAATTTGGGGTGCATTAATTGGGATTACACTGGGATCAGCATGGTTCATAATCATGCACATGACCTTGACACCGTTTTTTCCTATAGTAGTTTCGTGGTGAGTATCGGAAAATGGCGTAATAATGGTGATAATGCATTCAGCAGAGGAAAGTTTTGCAACTGTTCTAAAATTCTTTAGTATGATATTGGCCTTGCCCGTAGTTCCTCATTGGATCTAAATGTATAAATCAATAATATTAAAGAGTTTTACAACAGTTGCAAAGCTGCTTTCTCTGATGACTGCTGCTTAATAATAATGTCATTCATATTATTCCAATCTTTGTTATTCTTTAGGCGAATATCAGAGTTTTTGTTGCTGCGTGATACGACGCTGATCCCTAATGTCTTGTGGTTCGAGTACACAAATATTCGTACGGAGGCTCGGGCACGAGCGCGAAAGCTATCGGCAATTGGAAGGTCACATTGACAACCAATTATAGTATCGGCCAATAAGCCGATAGCGTATAATAATGCCTTGATAACGAACGACTCAAAACATTAAACTAACATTCCTGCAATTAATTGTGTTGGAGGATTAATGCAAAAACACGTTTGAAATATTTAATCCTCTTATCAGAGACGATTTAAGTTTCACAAATTCCAATATAAACGTGGAACCGATTATGAAATGATCACGTCATTGCAATGTGATGCATCATCATTCAATATTGTCGTTATTATGATAATTATTGTCTATTATTAATACTAATACGATAATATTAAGCTGTTTTTAACGAGAAATAATTGGAGTAACGGCGCCGTCAAAGCTGTGGCACAAGTGCGTATCTATTTGCGACTGCTGGAAGGATATTGCTGGGGAGAAAAAATAATGGATACGATCGTCACGCGTGTTGTAACAGAGTGCTGGCATGGCCGAGATTATTAAATTAAAGTCATCAAATGCGTTTGCACGTTCAAGCACGATTGTATTTTTAGCAAGTTATTCTTTTTAAGGTCTCGCAAATTGTTCTAGAGTACCGTTTTGTACCAACTCCCAAGAGGCATGTATCGCCTGTGTGCTAGATTCTCTCTCCATGTGTTCCTAATAATTAAGTAAAGAACGAAATAATATGTGGGATGTACGCAATGTTTAGTCAAATAAAACTGGAAATTCAGAAACAGTTAAGAGAAAGCAGCTGCGAGAAGAAAATCGATTCACTCAATAAATCTGTTTCTGAATGAGCATGCAAGTCATCAATGTTATGTGATGTTTCGCAGCGATTCATTCCAGCGTATTTACGAAAATTGGGATATTCATTCAATACATATTCATGACTCGTACATTGTATAAGATATACATTTTTTAAAAAAATGTAAGAGGAAGATCAAACTGGAATACAACGCAGCATTATAAAAATTGTTGAGTTAATAGAATTGATTGTATTAGACATAAAATTATAATATAACGTTGTTTGACATGTTTGTATTCCAGGCGCGAATCTTCCTTATTCATTGTCGAATCATCATTTATGAGATTACTGCCTGAGGATCATATCAATCTTTTTCTATTTTTTTTTCCAGAGTTAATAGTAATGTTTTAAAAAATTTAATTTCTCTCTCTCTCTTTCTCGAGCAGGGACGTGTGAAGACAGCATTAATTAGTCGGATAGAAGTTAGCGAATATATATAGTTATTATATATGATATCTTTTTTCTGAGGAGGAGGTTTGCATTTTGTTAATGGAATTCAATAAACTGCACATAAGCAGTGCAAATGGGTTTTGTGAAAATCTTGTATAGAAAAGGAGTCGTCTCATTTTACGACTTTGATTACATTTAATAAATATATTGCCACGTAACAATAATTTCTTTCAACAAAACCATTAAAAATGACATCGCATGTATATGATATGTACATTTCGAAAATTATAGATAATGGTACATGGCACGCGATATCGTGCGATATAGTTTTGAAAGACAAATACAACGACCTTGTATTCATTTATTTTAATTGGATCGATAAACAAAATAGTTTGCAGATTAACCGACAGGCATGAGGCACGAATATCTAGACACGATACGCCTGATTGAAAATTTCTAGTACCTCTAGATTCCGGAAGTTGCTGAGGCATTTAATGAATCCGACAAAGCACAGGGAGCGTGGGAGACACAAAAAGAAAGAGAAAGAGGAGGGTTGGGTGTTTGCTTGCTAGGAAGAGTCTCGATCGCGTGAAAGATCTAATTCGCGAGGATGGATTTCAACGTGAAGAAGCTGGTGAAGGATGCGGGAGCAGCTCTAAGCAGGGTCGTGCAGGTGGGAAAATCCTCTTTTTTTTTCTCTGTTCTATCCGGAAAAAGTCTGGGATCCGCACCGAGGAAACGCGACGTCGAACGCATTTCGAATCCGTTTTCGGTGTTTATCACCGTTGACATTCAACGAAAGCGACGATCGAACGCGTTTGCACGTCATTGGACGGCTTCCTTGGCCGCTCCTCGTTCTCGTCGAACTGAAATCCACGTCCAATGTCATCTCGTTTAACCTAGATCCCTGGTCTCGTCTCGACGTGCAACGTCGTCAGCCGATACCAATGACGCTGCTCTTTAATTAAATGAAAACACGTCATCTTCCTCTGATGCTGTATTAGCATCGCAATAACGACGCGGACTTTGAACGCAAATTGTAAAATCGTATTTGTTCATTGGCAACTATATTTTAAGAGCATTAGAGATACTATATATTGAGAGCGTTGCTATATATTAGAAACGTTAGAAACTGTCAAGAAAATTTAAGATTATGTTTGCTCTCTCATGTCTCTCAGATGACAGAAGAGACACTGGGTACTTCAGAAAAAACCGAGTTAGATGCGCATTTGGAACACCTAGCAGAAAGAGGAAATGCCACCAAAACCTGGACGGAAAAGATACTGCGGAATATGGAAGCTGTGCTTACTCCAAATCCTGGTATTGAATTAATTTAATTAGATTTGAATTTTGATAAAAAATCGATTGTCAACACTTTTTAACATTATTTAATAGAATCTTCTATATGTATATTTTTCATCATTAATTCTAAGATGGCATATTTTGCAGGTAATAGGATTGAAGATTTCTTTTATGAAAAAATTGATAAGAGGAGACCTAATAGGTTGAGCAATTTGGAATATGTAGGCACTGATATGATAGAAGCTGGAAATGATTTTGGTCCAGGAATAGCTTACGGTTAATGTCAAATATATTCTCTTAAATATACACATATATGTATGATGGAAGAGAACTTGATGTAAGATTTGATTTTAGGTAGTGCATTAATAAAAGTCGGCCAATGCCAGCAGAGATTGGGACAGATCGAAAGAGACTTCATAGGAACTGCCGCCAATTGTTACATACAGCCTTTGAGGAAGTTCTTGGATGGAGAAATGAAAACCGTCAGCAAGGAAATGGCGATATTGGAAACCAAAAGGTAAAAATCGCTTATCCCTATTGTACATATTAAAAAAGTCTTAATAATTAATTATGTTAAATGATTTTAATGTAGATTGGACTTGGATGCATGTAAAAATAGAGTGAGGAAAGCGAGGAGCATGCTGGGTCAACAGAGTGTAAGTATCGTTAATTGTTGATATCATTTAAAAATTGTTCTATACGTTTACGATGTGTTTTGTCCTCCACACTGCTGCGATTTATAGGAGTCCGGCATATCACCCGAAGTGTTGCTCGATCAGGTATTAATGCAATCGATAGTTTCGCTTGTTTTCTCAATTCAGAGAAATCCAAATCCAATGCGATCGCATTAAAGATTTTTATGGCTATCGTTTAAGAATATGTATTAAATTTTATAGATATTAAAGTGCTAATGTTCTTGTCACGTTTTACACATTATCATAATAGTCTCATAAATGTATATCTGTATATACATAAAAGCAAACCAAAAAAATGATAATAACAATTGTTGAATCGTGAAACGACACATAATCTTTCTTACGATATGGATCAATAGCGATAGCTACGTCTCATAGCTACAATCATTTTATTATGGTTTCCTGACTTCATCTTGGATAGCAGATACTAAAATATATATATATATATATATATATATATATATATATATATATATATACACACATATAAAATATATATATTGCTCACTCAGGCAGAGAGGGAGTTAAGGGTAGCGCAATCAGAGTTCGATCGACAAGCAGAAATCGTGAAATTGTTGCTGGAAGGTGTCTCGAGCTCACAGGCCGGACATTTGCGATGCTTGCACGAATTCGTAGAAGCGCAAGCACGTCATTACGCGCAATGCCACGCCGTCATGCAAGATCTACAGCGTGACCTTGCCGGGTAAGTTGGTTGCTTTCATCACTTTTTGGCTTTCTTTTTTCTTTTAAAAATATTCTATCTACCTACTTTATTCAATCTGTATTTGGCACGTTATTGTCCTCGTGCAGCGTATTGTTATTGCAACATTTCTGTACAGCTATCCTACTTTATGGTAATCCGAGTGAGTAATGTTTGACAAACCTTGAATGTTAATGAGTATGTTTAGATAACGATTCGTAAACTCCGCTTCTCCTTACAGCAATCGCGGGCATAGATTTGGACAAAAAAAGACAAGATAAAATTTTTCATGATAAAAATGTCTCACTGCACAGAAGATGCAGTTTTTGATGGTTTGACGAACATTACCTGTTACAGCTGGTTTCAACATTAATTAATTTTAACTTTTAATCGACTGACAGTAGAATTAAAGTTTCAAGATTGTTTGATCTCGGTGAAACCGTTGTGTGATTAATTATACCAGATCTAATGCCGACATGATTTAATTGCTTCCATATCAGCATCCTGTCCTGAACATTGTAACAATCGCTAGTAATAGATGTAAATTGTTTTTATTATCTATTTAATTACTCCTTGCTTCCTCGGCCTTCGTGCAATCTGTTGGAGCGTGTTCTTTCCCGCTACTCTCTATCTCTGCTTGCACGATTGGTAATTGCAGGGCGCGTCAACCGAGCCCTTTGCTGAGAGTCAACAGCGAGGAAGTGATCGAGCTAAATCCTTCGCCCACTCTCCCTCAAAATTCGTCCGTAACCGCCGGATCTGCCGCTTACGTTACCGCCACATTCGACACTGATACCAGTAAAATTTAGTTTTCAACCCTTCGAATACGAATATTGACGGGTCATTACAAATTTTGAATCCAGTTGGCAATTCAATTAACGGATCTACGTTAACTATCACGCAATTTTCCCATTTTAGCGACGTTCGTTCAAGTTACACGTACACGTTAAAAAGCTTGATTCCAATTGTCGCTTAATCGTTGCAGACTTGTTACCTATCAATAAATACTCTACAATGTTGTATAATTGTACATGCAATTGTATATTTAGATAAATAGGACGGATAAAGTATCTTTTTCGATCAATTTCTTTGTGAACGATTTACGGCGATCAGTGCGGTTTACATATCTTATCTTCATCTTCTTCTATACTACTACCTCTTTATTATTCTTGTATTACCTTTCAAAAACAATTGCTTTAGATCGCCGTAACTCGGCCGAGAATGGCCATAATGGCATCAAAGAGAAATTAATTCTGATGCGCCATGTAACTAAACAACGACATAAATGTAGACACATATCACGCTTTTCTTGTTTTTATACTAGAATGTTGATAATCTGCCTGTATTATATACTGCGGGGAAAAGAGTAAATTTTTCCATTCTTTCCATAATGTCGGGAAATATCGGGATAAACTATGTAACAATAATGCATGTAATTGTACCAGTAGAATTGAGAACACATGCCCGCAAAAGAACAAATTAATTTGCCGAATAAAAAATGTCTTTAATGCAAAATTCGATCTTTTTAAATTGCATGCATACTGATCCAATTCACTACAATCGAATACTTATTATTTCGCTCAATGTCAAGTAATGACTATGTAGAATCCCGTGGTGAGTGTGTGCCTGATTATAAACATGAAACGATATTTCAATATATTCACGTTGTATAGCAATGTATGATCCTCGTAAAAAGTCGCTTATAAGTTCAGTTGTGTCTCCTACCCTAATGTTTCCCCCGTACACGAGTTTATATTATACATAAGATTATAGCACTATAAATTCACTTATCGTTTACCTACCCAGCCTATCTGGGGGTCCCTATTACACCACCCCACCAGCCACCACCAACGCACTAGCCGAGAATGGTCAGGACAGAGCAAGAGTGTTGTGCAATTACGACGCGAGGGATCCTAGCGAGCTAAGCGTCATGCAGGATGAGGTAACGAAGTTTGTGATTTAGGTACTCAACAGCATGTTTGACGATGTCTCGAGCGAAGGGCATGAATCTGTAGTCGGGTTAAGTTACGGTACTGTAAGGTCACCTACTTATAGTCTTTTTTTTTTTTAATCACTCTGTATAAATATGTATTGTAGAGAGATTTTCTTTTGTATTTCCTTCGGACCATCGTGTAAGACTCGTTTTAGGCTTAAATCTTTCGGGACTGTCGCCGATTTTCGATTCTCGACCTAGGCTCTGAAGGAAAAATTTATATTCGACGCGTCCAGAGAGGTCCCCGTCCCGAAAGGATTAAGATACTGTCTCGAGATGTTGACTTCTCTTAATACGCGTTATAGAGTTAAGTATTTGTTATTATAAGTACACGTTTCAAATCGCGAGACGCTCATATATATTAACTTGCATAACTTTAAGAGCTCTCTGTTAATACTAACAACATTGTACTGATGCATTTATTTTCAAGCAGCTAATATGTTGTTAACTTGCAAGATATTAGATATTGTTCTCGAAAGAAAGCTTGAAAAATTCGTATTCTCATGTATTGATTAGAAAAACAAAAAATGCCGAAACTTACTATAATACTCCTGCAATGCAAAGCATTTTATTAATATCAATACAAAGATAATTGGGAAAATCATTTTTGGAATGGATACACGCTAAAACGGAAAACAAGGACTGTGATAACTTTTAGCAACATTAATAATACATAAATTGTTCTGCAAAGTTTCGAGAATATCTAAATGTGAATATTTCAGCAATCCTTTAAAAAAATAATTTCTATCTTGCGAATTGCAAAATATAATACGAAATATCGATTGATCAAGTAATTCGTCTTAAAAAAAAAAATCTATTTATCTTCATAATATTAGCATTATATCTACATCTTAATTGTACACACTGATTTGTATTATATTGTGCATGCTAAACATATATTGTAATTTTCAATTAGTTTGAATTTACGTGCGCTTTGTTAATTTCTTTTTTTAATCGATGTGTCGTTAATATTATGTATTAGTTTCACGTTTTCTCTGCTATAGATTTGTAAGATGACAAGAATAGAGGACACATCGCGAATGTTTAGAATACACGTACTTGTGCGTAACGAGTTATTGTATATTTATTCAAATTGTGCATGTTCAAGAAATGTCTACCGTTTTACTTTATTACGAGCATTTTATTTATTGTGTCACGACTATCATATTTTTCATGTATTGTTTTGTACGCTTATTTCGATGTGTTCTATAGTGACGCTATATATATAATGCGTGCCTGTATATTATAATCAATACGATGTACTAATTAGATTGTGTATAAAGTTATACTTTAATAAATTGAATATCTTGAGAAAAAGAAAGACAGGAGGTATATATATGTTTTTTCTAGGTAATCGGTATTTACAAAATTCCCGACGACGACGATTACTTCATGGGAATTAGAGGCAATCAACAAGGAAAGGTGCCCAAAGTATACGTGGAAACACTTATAATACATCATTAATGTACTTAGAAGCTATCGTCTATTGTCAATTGCATTTAGAGTCAATTTAGCGCACTGCTCTCTCGCGAAATTTTATTTTCAGCTTGAATTAGTCGAAATAATGGCTATCTTACTTGGCTTGAAAAGTGATTCGTTATTTCAGGACCAAGAGATTAATTCCAATTTAATTAAATAAATCACTAATCTATGAGTAAAGCATACAACACGATGGAATTATTCTTGTATCAACATTGTGCCTCTTGATCGTTATGGTTTTTCTTTTCACAATTGACCAAATGGTCGAATAAAAACATTTACCGTTTAAAGATTTATTATTAATAATACATAATATATATATATATAAGTTTACTTCTTTTTCGACACACCGACCGTGCGTCCACGACGACCTGTAGTCTTGGTGTGCTGACCACGTACACGGAGACCCCAGTAGTGACGCAGCCCTCTGTGAGCACGGATTTTCTTCATCCTTTCCAAGTCCTCACGGAGCTTAGAGTCTAAGTTGGCACTCGTGAGCTGTAAAATAATACCAAGTTTTCAAGATACCTTGACTATTAACATTTGCATAAGATTACATGTATATAATTTGATCTCTGTTGCACTCGTACCTGTTACTTGATATAGTAAGGAATACTATAAAGCAATAAAAATGTACAGCAGTGCAGTTGCTATTGCACAATCTACCAGCTGAAGGTACAATGAATATATGCACGATCAGTCGTGAATTTGTGCAATAGAATTTTCACAATGTATTACAATAATAGATAAATGATTGTTATCCAAGTCAACGTTACATCTTTATATCTATACATCTTTATGTCAGTCGAATTTCAATAAATTATTCGGATCTAAAATTCCATGTTCAAGAAACTTTTCTCCAAATGTATGATTTTACATTTTTCAACAATAAAGCATGTGTTTCAGAAAGCATGTGATTCTTTTTTTTTTTTAAAGAAACAGATGCATACCTGCGAGTACTTTCCATCGACGATATCCTTCTGTCTATTAAGGAACCAATCGGGAATTTTGTATTGCCTGGGATTAGCCATAATGGTGACAATTTTTTCAACCTAAAAGCATTTTGGATATGTCAGTATTTTTAAGGTGTTTCACAAATGTAGAAACGAAATTTATAAATTAAACTTACTTCTTCCTCCGAGCATTCTCCAGCTCGCTTGTCCAAGTCAATGTCTGCCTTCTTCAAGACGATGTTGGCATAACGCCGACCAACACCTTTGATCGCGGTCATAGCAAACATGACTTTCCTGTTGCCGTCGATGTTCGTGCCCATGACACGAAGAATGTGCTGGAACTTCTCAGGAATTACGAGCGACTGGAAAACAGGAGCATGCCATCATAATTTTGTATACACGCGAAACTAACCTCAATCACGACGCGCGACAAATCGCGAACAGTTGGACGAATTTTTGGAACAGTTGGACCGCTAAATGGAAATCGTTGAATCTTTGCGATCATCGCGAAATATCATGAAGCACGCTCAACTAACAAAAAACTTTAATTCGCGAAAATAAACCCGCGACGTAACCTCAAAACGTCGATTGGTCGTTTTTTCCGCGACATTTGTTAAAATATTTCGGAGATAAATTCGAAAACGACAAATTTATCATCTTATTTGAGTGTGTGATGCGTATCACACAAGATTTCTTCAAAAAAAATAGATTCCAGAAGGAATTCATATAACACTCACCATCTTGCCGTGTAGCTTGACACCAAAAGACGGAAATAGGATAGGAATGGAGATTCATAAAACCGGAAGCGACCGCCATGCCAGGACTCTAAGCTTTGTATCGATTGAAAATAACTAGAGAAGTTTCTCTCTGATTGGACACGTTTTTTTCGTGTTGCCGAAAAATCGCTCGTACACTACCGCCAGTACATCCATTTTCAATTTAGGAACTACATGACTATATACATTTTCTGACACTATCGATAAAATCGTATCGTCGAAAGTAGATGTGGTTCATCGCTGTACTAAATCCTCAGGACAGAAGTGTGCCGACTATCCATAGGAGGGATAGTTTAATGGATCTTTGAACGAAAAAATTCTAATTTTGCATCTTCTACATACATATAAATAAAAATTGTTGAATTTTAATAAACGAAATTGAAAATTTAATCAAGTTAATTTAGTGCGAATTTTGTCTTATAATATCTTATAAAATTACGAAGTTTCTTTATACATATACTAAAGTAAAAACCGTGCAACAAAGCTTATTAATCGGAGAACATTAAAAATGTAAAGAAAATGTAAGAATATATAATATTATTTTACTTACTTCGTAATATGCATTAATATTTCGATAAAAGGTTGGCACGCGGCAAAATAAATAATAAAATATAAATTTTTTCTCATTAGTTCGAAATATAACTAATTAATCAAGAAATGATAAACTCTTACTTATGGCACTGACAAGATAAGTTTTATTCAGATGCTTTACAACCAGTGATAATAATAATTCTTCAAATTTATATCTTCGCGACCTACTCATGATAATCATAAAGTGTACCTAGGGTCGGTAATCTTAGTATCTCGTATATCGATTAGCAAAATTTATCATTTAGCTTATAAGTTATTAAGTTAGTTAAAGATGTCGCCACCAATTTAAAGTATGGCTGGTATGCATTAGTGTTCTTATAGTGGAGCTAGTATGCACATAATATCTTAAGATTTTCAACTATAATAATTAATGCTTAAGACGCTAATACGATTCTCTGAGTGTGTGACTTCTATATATGGATATATATATATATAGATGTGTTTTTTTTTCATATTTCGCAGCGATAATAACAACAAGAAATTGTATATTATCATATATATGTGAGTTGCAATTTTATTTTAATATTCTGGAACTATAATGCATATACAATACTTCTTAGCTTTTGGATAACATGAGATTATTAATATATTATAAAATTTAACTTTTAGAAAACAAACAGTTTGAATTCTTACCGATATACAAGATGATTTTAACATATTTCGTCACCCATCATGAGCAGGTAGAGTGAATCGAAAAGTCCTTTACCATTTTGCAATTTTCTTAATAGTTAACAAAATATTAATTACTAAAAATTGCCAAATATTATGGCCTTGAATAATTTTTTACTTAAATACTATCAACTTTATAGAAAAGCTGCAAGAGACAAAAATCATTTTTTTTTCTCATAAAGTTCTGAATTTTTTCAGAATTTTTTAATATTGTATTTTCTCATGTTGATAAAAATAAGAAAATGCAATACTAAAAAGTTGATAAAAAATTCTGAAAAAATTTTTAGAGTTCTATGAGAAGAAAATAAATGATTTTTGTCTCTTGCAGCTTTTCTATAAAGTTGATAGTATTTAAGTAAAAAATTATTCAAGGCCATAATATTTGGCAATTTTTAGTAATTAATATCTCGTTAAGTATTGCATAAACTCCCAGCAAACGCGAATGGATTAAAATGGATTGAAATTTTTTTTTATCCGAATGCGTATTTTAAATAGCGAATACTTTGTTTTGGATTTAATTGGATTCAATTGGATTCAATTCGATTCAATTGAATGCAATTGGATTGAAAAACTGCATTTTCTATTCAAAATTTTGAATTGAATAGTATTCACAATTGTATTTGTGTGCACAAAAAAGCTAATATTATTTTTAGATTGAAAGGCATAGAGATATGCTCCATGCAATTCCTAAATGAATAAAAATGCATTTAGAATTGAAAAGCATTTATTTTAACATTTGTGAATCAATATTTCTGAAAATCTGAATCCATTTCAATTCATTTCAATCCATTCTTGTTTGCTGAGTATTATATATTCAATATCGAAAATAATATCTTGAAATGAGAGGTCAATTTATATATAGTAGTACATGCATGCATATGCATATGTATTATAGTGATGTGTCGATATCTCACATAGATTGTATGTATGTATTATAATTATATGTATCTAAGTCACACATTTAATCGATAAATAACGATTTTGACCATCACCCCAGTATCCTACTTTTAACACTACAAATGCTTCGAAGCATTCGACTGATTACAATTAAAAAAAAGAATTTTAACTAATCAACGAATGCTTTAAAATAGTGTATAGCCTCTCAAATAAACTGTAGCCTGTACCACCATTCTGTTCTGAGAGGCATGCTGCGCATAAAAGATACTTTACAAGATTTTATATCCGAGAGAACTGAAGAATGAGGATAAAGTAAAGTTTCGCAGCGGGAGAATAGGAGGAGAAAAGACAGAGTCTGCCTTCTTGTGGGGTCGTAAAGCGGGGAGAATGTCGTCTTTAAAATGGCGTGACAGGTCCGTGATGACTTCCAACGAGCCCGTCCAATGGCGATGACGCAAACGAAAGGAAAAAAATAAAAAACGTTAAAAAAAAATAAGAACATTAGAAAAAAATTTACCGTGCTGTCTGAATAATGAAATGTTATTCCGGTCGATGTTAAAGCGAAATAAGAGAATAAGCAAAAAATTGACTTAGTCTCTCGTCTATATTAAAAAAAAATATGCAGCAAGAAATGATTCTTATGCCTGAATTGATGTCAATATGATGTAATCGATGATTTCGATGTCAATTAAATGTCGGTTCGAATTTTAATGGTCATTTCTCACTGAGATCAGGCATTTACTGCCGTTGTGATTGCCGATCATAAATCTAGACTACATTCCATAATGTTTTCTTTGAAGAAAATTTTACTAGATATATTATAATATAACATACACGTTATGTATATCATATATTTTGAGTAAAATTTTCTTTGGAGAAGTTTGGAATGTAATGACATAGAAATATTAATATCTACATAATGGATGTTTTTCAGTAAGAACAATGTAATTAATACAGTGAATCATTACATATTATTTTTATCAACGTTAAACAAAGATGAAATGATTCACTGTATTACCCTGTATCCTTACTGAAAATACCTTGAATTATGTTGTCGATGCCACGACTACCTAATAATTTGACACGTATTTTTTTTATGGCAAAAGTTATAATTATTTATAGGCATAAAAGAGCCCATTTATTTACTTGATAAAATCTTTCTCTTTTTTTTTTCAAATTATATTTGGCACATCGATTCAGATCAAAATCGTAAATCGCAAGATACAGATACTTTATTTTTCATCTCGAAAAAATTCTTTCTCGAGCAGAAATACGAAAAGAAAAACGAAAGTTGAATCAAAATCTATGATCGAATGTCATCATTGTTTTTTTTTTTTGTTTGATTAGTCAAGTCAAAGAAGCGAAAGATGCATATACACATATGTACGACACGTATTGTAGACGTGGCGTAAAAATTCCACGCAGGAATCTAATATTAACAGCCAGCTCGATTCTACGGATACGCCAACGAGGTTGCCGGTGCGAAATGAAATTTGTCTCGGTGTGTTGTCGATGGAGTTTCGATAACTCGATAAAAATCCGGCGAGCGGAAAAGCAATCGTTTCGCCACGCAAAACTCTTTCTCCCTCGCTTTTTGTTCCCTTTCTCTTTCCTCCCATCTCTCTCGATCTCTCCCTCGCTCGTTTCCCCTTCTAATCTTGACTGCAAGGGTCAAAGGTTAGTCGGTCGGGCAAAGGTAACAAAGGTAGCAAGGTGGCGAATCGAGGTGGTGAATCGAGAAACGAGTCGAAACGAGCGTTCGGAGAGTGAGTCGCCATGGGGTGGGAGAGACAGTAGGGATGTTCGCCAACTTCCCGTGCATGATTCCCCTTTGATCCGTTTTACTACGGTCGTTCCCCCGGATTAAGCCGGAATAAGAAAGAATTCGCGAGTTTCGTTCTAACATAATTTATCCAGTCACCGTGTGGCACATCTCGTGTCGATTTTAAAGCAGAATCTTCGAGAAATCTCACCACCGATCTCAATCACGAACGCACTCATCCAGAGAAAAGTTTCTTTGGTTCGAACAAAATTTGTTTGTATAAAAAAAAAAAAAATTTGTGCACAATTACGGGTGAATAAAAATTTCTGTGAGAGATTTGAACGTTATTTCTTGAAATCAAGTGAATTTTCATTTTCCTCAAAGGTATTTTCGCTTCAATTTAAAAAAAAAAAAGAAAAAATCAACGGAAGAAAACAATTTGTTCGATTTAAACATAACTTTTCTCCGCTGGGCGCTGAACAATACCATTCCGAGATATCGAGAGGTATCGCCGTTCACAATGCTTCTGCCATGATTTTCCATTAGTCGACGATCGGAGAGACCGCGCGTTCGAATATTTAGAGTTTCAGGAATTCAGTTCTCGCTCGGACGCTATTCGCGCGGTTGTAGCGAAGACAATCCGTGTTGATTAAAACAGGAGATAGGTACGCGACGAGAACGGGGTCGCGCCTCGCGATAAATTTGCCGCGGAATTCATAAAGCATCGTTAACGTCGCTTTCGGCGAACGCGAATGTGCACGACGAAAGTGGTTCATGTTTTCTCTCTCTCTCTCTCTCTCTCTCTCTCTCTCTGCCCCTCTCCTTTCTCTCTCTTTAAAGAAGTATCCTTTCGGGACCGTCCAAAAAAAAGGGAGAAAACGAGGCATCGAAGGGCTGGGCGATACGCGAGAGGCTTAGAGTGCCGAAATGATTAATCATCCGACGAAGGATTCTGCATTATGTGGGACGGTTACATCGTCTCATCGACGGCCCCCGATGTCGCTTATTGTCGGATTATGATAGAGATTTGCAGCCTCGACTGACATATGCTCTGGACTTTTTTGCGCTTGGAAGATGAGTAATATATCTGAATAGTAATAATTTAAAAATATATTCTTTTTACC